TCCTGGTGGCTTTAGGGGGCCGGGGCAGGAGGGGACTGTGAGGGAAGTATATGTGCACTAAGTGGGGAGCATGTTGTGCGTTAAGGAAAGGCTTTAGTTTAGGAATTTAGGACTCCATGTTTAGAGAAAGATCAGAGACCTTCTTGGATCTGAAAGCAGAACTGGAGCTCTCCCCTTCTTCTTTCTCCAGTAAGTGACCAAGAGAGCTTATTCCCTTTCTGAACACTAATTTTTGTGCACCAATCTCCTGCTGGCAGCAGGATTAACAGCATTAAACCACAACCCGTTAAACCCGTTAGCCTTACACCCCTTACACCCTGCCTTAGTACATACTGTAATAAACATAAGACATTTACCTCAAACGATGAAATGAAGACCCTAAAAATCACTAAGTGCAACAAGGGAAGCTGTAGAGACCAGAGGGGCTTCAGCAGTAGCAGAGAATTTTCTGAGCAAAAAAAGTTACTATGATTTTTTTTGATAGCAAAGGTAGGAAGTAGCGCCTTAGACACAACAGTCCCTGATGTACTGAAGTGCTTACTCCACTCCCATGGGTACTGGCTGCTCCAGCAGTGCCTGTTAGCTGTGCAGGTCTGTGGGTCGAGTCTGACTGGGAGCAGCTTTAAGTGAGCAGTCGTTCCCCTAAGAATTCATGTCCAATTGCTTTACTTTTTGTTCGTTTGTTTGTTTTGTAAAAGGCTAAGACTTCCCATTTTTCTTGTGACTAAGAGTTAGGATTCCTGCGTAACTGTGGGATTTCTGGATCTAAGTTTTCAGGCAGGCACCAAATATAGAGAAAGTTGAATTAAAGCATTAGTGTTATCAGTCCTTGTGACCCTTGGTGTTTTCCTACAGCTCCTAAAAGCAAGATGTGCCGATGTCAGAATTTTAGCTCTCAGGTTGTCCCTTCCCCTGGAAATGTCTGCAGTTGCAGACTGAGGTTGAGAAAAAATAACCTGAGTACTTACAAAATTCTTAACTTCCAAAGGACAAACTTGAAAGACCTTCACATTGTTTTTTAGCAGATTTTGTTTATTTTGAGGCCTAGCCTGTGATTTCTGAACCTGTGCAACTGACAGTATGGAAGCTCTTGCAGGCTGGCAGTGCTTCACCATGTGTAAACATTAGGATAGCAACATCCCAAATGGAATGTTTTCCTGGAGCTATTATGTTAATAATCTGAATGAAATCCCACCTAATCACCTAGTTACTGCTGTATTAATATGATTTACAAGATGTACAAGCTATCTGTGCACAGAGTGTCAGGCAATGGTATTTCCAAAATGGTGCTTTCTTCCCATGTTCCTTCCTGTGCTCTGAATCTTCGTGCTGAGTAAATGTGAGCTGCCAGCTCCGTTCCTGGCCCTGCTGGACTGTTCGGCCAAGCTTTTGCGTGCTGCAGAAAGAGCAAACATCTCATCAGACACAACTAGGCCACTTGATCTCCGTCAAACCGTGCTCCCCTCCCGCGGGACTAGCAGGCAGCAAAGAACAGCACCTTCGAACTGAGTGTGTTAGGAGATGGAGAAACCTGCCTTTATTTTAACTTTGTTCTTCTCTTTGCCCATTCTGCATGAGCGGTTCTTAATCTTGGTCAGCAGGGGTTTGTACGTGAGTATGCACAGTACCCAACACCAGGAGGTCCTGATGCTTCTCGAGACGACTGGACACTGCTGTAATGTGCAGAGTAAATCAAAATAGCGCTCAAAACATCAGCAATAGAAGAAAAAATGTTAACTACAATAAATAAAATAGTTTCATGAATGCTCAGCTGTATTTTATTGGGCTTTCAGGATTTATATCTCCTCCAAGTCTTTATGAATACTTGAGACTAAATAACAACATTTTGGTGAACACTGAAATATTTGACATTTTCAAGAGGTCAGAATCTATTTTATAATCCTTGGGGATTTCAAATAATTTCATTTAAACTGTTTACACTTGGGGGAGTTATGATCTTGTTTACTTCTAACAAAAGAGAGCAAGGACGGGGTTTTGGCCTGGATAGGTAGATCCGGTATCTCTGAGAAGCTCATTTGTTAGGCCGACAAGGGGAAAAATGAAGTGCGGAGAGTGGCGCATCCCTCCGTGCCCGTGTCTGCATCGGCTGCTGCGTCTGGCCGCGCTCTGTGGGAGCTGCTCCGTAACTACGTGTCAGGCATCCTATAGGCAGCTTCTGCAAAAACCCAGCCATATAGGGATCGATCGGCCTGTCCCTTGGCACCCGCAGCTCCGAGCGAGCTAAGAGTGTGCTTAATTTGAAACAACAGCCACAAAAAGTTACTACGCTGGGAGCTGGCGACTGAGCCAAGCTTTCACAGAACTGTCTGGTGAACTCTACAGGAAACAAAGTTCCCATTGAAGTTATTGGCAGTCTGTAACCGAGAAATAAGTGCTGGGCTGTGATACGAATGGAGTAAATGCAAGCCTTGCAGACCAGATGTTGGTCCTGTGCTTTTAATTAAGATTTCGTTGTGCTCGTGCTCGCGCTGCGCCCTTGCCTGCCCGCGCACACGCGGAGCAGAGCCCCGGCTCCCGGCCCGCAAACACAAGAGCCCCCATCGCAGGGGGCACCTTCCTTCCTCGCACACAGTCTCCTGGCAAGGAATCTGGCCTGCTCTCCCAGGAGAGCCTCCGTCTTGGCAGTGAAGCTGTTAACTCCACTCATCTCTCAGTGACTCTATGAGTCTCTGTGGTCATAAGAGTTACTTCTAATTTATTTAATGGCACTTAATTAAGTGCTCATTAATGCTCATTCTTACAGAGTTTTATCTTTTCCAAGAATCACTACTGCTGGCTGCCAGGAGGGTAGCCCTGGGCACAGCAAGATCAAAGATTAATAAATCAGCTTATTGGTCCAGCAATATTATTTATAGTTCCACCTATATCTATCTCTGAGAGCGTTCTAATGATGCAAAACTGTATTTCTCATTACATATATCCATAATTTTCTTACTCTAGTCATTACAAAACAGGAGCTGATGGATGTTAGAGCAGGCAAGGCGTTTATCTACTGGCATCTATTCGCTTTGTTTGTAATGCATGTTCGCATGTTGATACATCTGTTCTTGCTACTTTGCTATTTCAGAAGATAGTGATTTTGAAACCAGTCCAATGATTTCATCTGGAGGGTTTTTTTTTTTTTTTTTACCCAGTTCTGCAGTCCCTTGTGGAAATGACATGTTTATTTATGTTTAATGGTTCTCTCAGGCTGTTCATTGTGCAGGGCTCTCCTTCCCCCTCCTTTTTGTCCCCGCTCAGCAACTCAAAATTGGGTTTGGAGGAGCCAGAGCTCAGGCCTGCCTAATACAAGTCCTTCTCCGTGCGTAACTGCAGTTACTGCAGAGTAATTCGGTGCTGTATGTTGCTGCATGTGATGAGTTTGTTCTTTAGAGGATCGGAAGGGACCGCGATCAACTTTGCTCTGACACGGGAAATGCCCAAGCCCAAACCGCTCCTTGGTGCATTTGTGACCACTTGCATCCTGCCTTTTGCTCTGATACCCCTCAAAAAAGGAAGGAGGTGCCTGGGAGACGCCGGGCAGCGGTGCCGCACGGCTCACGAGCCTCCCGGCAGATATTCCGGCTCCCGTCGGAGTCAGCACAGGCTTTGGCACTGGCTGCGCTGGAGGCTGGCGCGAGGCCCCGGCGTCGCGTGCTCCCCAGGCAGCCGGGAGCGCGGCGGCACCGGCTCCACCGCAGCCTCCCAGAGCAGCGGGGCAGCCCTCACGTGAAACCCTTCCAGAATAAAACCTTGCCACCGCCATCTCTCTCTTTGCTACACTTAAGCTGGCCGGAAGATTGTTTAAATATATCTCATGGGCAGCTTACAATGCAAATTATTTCCTGTCTTTTTTTTTTTTTTTAAATCATGGTTTTAAGGTGTCTGGCAAATTTATTACAGTGAAATGTCACGTTCTTCAAACAAGTCGTCAAAAGAACAATTTTTAGCAGTGACTGGTCTCCAGTGTCAGCCATTCAGAAATGTAATGGAGTTTGATTTGTTAAAAAAAAAATAGAGAACTCTGCATACTTGATCTGCCCTGTCTCGCTAGACATTTAAAGAGGGATTCCCGATATCCAGCATAGGTGCTGTGCCTGACCCAAGAGCACCCCGTCACTTTCCACTAGGTAGGTTCTTACCTTGCGTTGCTCCAAGCGAGGTGGCTACAGCAGATAGTGTGAATTGTGCCTAGAAAATCCCGCCTGGCAGCCCAGGAAGCTGCGTCACGGTGTGCTGCGCACCGCGGGTCGAAACTGGAAGCGGGGATGAGAAATAGGTTAAACCCACTGAGAAAGGCGCCACTGAGAATCGAACTCCCATCTGGCGGTCTTAGATAAAAATGTAACCGTTTGTTTTTCTGTGAATGTATCTTAACATTTTTGATGTTTTAATTTGTTCTCATTTTTTTTTTCTTTTTTTTCTTCCCTACTCAGCTCTTGCCCCTGTTCTTTGCCTCTGGTTTTGTTGGTGAGGATATCACAGTGATGTCTGCGTTCAACCTGCTGCATTTGGTGACAAAGAGCCAGCCAGTGGCCCTGCGAGCCTGTGGGCTTCCCTCAGGTTGAACGGGTGCTGCTTGTTGTGTCATGCGTAACGAAGGCCCGTTAGGAACGGGGGTGTCTGCTGCAGGAAACGCTGTGCTATGGGCTGCTCTGGTTTGTTTAAATTTTCCTTTGAACCAGAAGTTTGATTGCTTTTTAATAAGCCGCTGGCTTGCTTGAGAGTTTTCATATCCTAGATTGTAAGATGCTTGGAAGTGCTACCCAGCTTCCTTGCCCAACATGCTCTCTCTTAAATTTTGTAGTGTTTTCCTCTCTCTTGGCAAAAATAGAGCAATTAAACTGAAAATCGGTTGTGTTCCTTATCATTTATCATTAAAAAAGATAGTTAACAGAATTTAGTATATAGATTACTGTTAAATCTTAATTTCTTAAATCTTAATTGCTTAAATCTTAATTAAATTAAATCTTAATTAAATCTTAATTGCTTAAAAGCAATTTCCAAAGTATGTTAAAGTATACTGTCCTTAACATGAATGTGTTCCTTTTTACAATTTTATTGTAAATTAAGTATGTTCCAATGAAGGGTATGTAGGAAAAATATGCAGAACTTAAAACCTAATTCTTTTTTTCTCTAACAGCGTATTATTTAGACACTTCTCTAAATATGAAATGAATAATAAATATGAATATGAAAACATGCAATGTAATGCCCAGACACAGCTGCACTTCCCATGTATGTAAAGTCCTAGCTCTGAAGTTTGCTCTGTGAGGAGGGCCAAAAGACCCCATCTCTATGAACTGGTTACACAATTAAACCCTTAAACCTAAGTATTTCATGTTTCATTTTAGCAACATGCACAATGTCTGCATCGTAATGGCAGTGTGTATAGTTACATGAGCGAGAATAAAAGCTTCAGTGAGTTAATTTAGAAGGTACTAGGCATTTTCTTGACACCTAAACAAAAAAAGATACAATCCTGGCTGATCGGTGTTTGAAACATCAAACAAGAATCAGCTCGGGCATTTGTAATGCACGCACAACTGTTTCATAAAAGTGCAAAACGTTATAAGCACTTTTTGCTCCAGAGCTGTATTTAACAAGCATGTGGAGGTGATGTTCTAAAGATTTTTTCAGTGATAAGACATCAGTTTTCAAGCTGATGGATTTTCTAAAGCTGATTACACTTTATTTGAACTAAATCTGAGTCCAATTTTTGCAGCATTTGTGTTCTGTTTCCCTCCACATGTGCACAAAACTCCCATTAACCTAGATAGGAGCTGCAAACATATTGAGGAAGAGAGAGAATAGTCCGCATTGTGTCAGCCAGACCTTTGTTTCCTGTTCTATGTGCTGGTGAGCCAGATTTAAAATCCTAAAAATACAACATAAGCAAATTTCCCTAGCCTCGTGATGCCCCTTTCGCCGTGCGCTCTCTCTGCCCGTGCAGCCTTCAGACGGGGCGTCCAGGTTGTGCTGCCCATTTCATTTTGCACCAAAAAAGGAGCTCTCAGATCTGGCCAGCCAGCACCACAGTCCGTCGGGCTGCCGCTTTGCAAAGCGTTATTACCTTAGCAGTTTAGTGAACTGGTTTTTCCGGCAAAAGCCAGTGGTCGTATTTTGGGAGTAAAAAGCCAATAACGCAGCTGTTTATTCCTGCCTGCTTGATCCATAACTGTGCAAACATTAACAGATTGCGTTCCACTGACTGGCTGCTTTATATATGTATTATAAGCCAAAATTCATCTGCTAACAGTGGAATAATATACAATCACATATTTCACATATTTTAAGAGGAATCTAAATTCCCCAGACACTTATAAATTAATGTAGGCTAGCCTTGCCTTTGGTTTGTTTTTTGTGCGTGGTGTATTGAGGGGGTTATAAGTAAATGTATCAAATTAAACATGGGAATGAGATTTAGAGACAACATCTGTTTAAGTGCCACAATCCACTGTGACTTTAACTTTTGATTATACAGAAAGTGCCCCAAGTTCTCATGCCTCTTTTTTATAACATAGCACATTGTATTAGAGCTGTTCCCAGCATGAGGGTCTGTACAGATTGTGACTAGGCAGCGATATCACTTGGTGCTGTGTGCTGCCTAAGTCTCCAGTGCTGCAGAATTTGCTCTTCTTTGAGGGGCTAGGAAAGGACACTTTCTAACAGCCTGGAAGCTCTATCAATTTAGTGTCAGAAATCGAAATCAAAATGCTGGCAGAGTCTCCTCCTTGAGCTCTCATATAAAGCCAAAGCCTCTGGCCAGGGTTGTATCTTTTAAAATATTTTCTGGCTGAAAATTGAGCTTCTTTTGCACAGTTTTAAATTGCATACATTTAAATATTTGCAGGACGAGGACTTTAATGGAAGTATCATTTGAATTTGCATATTTGGAGTGGTACCTAGAATCATGTTGTTTCATTTCTTCCCGTAATATTTGTTTATGCCACAACAAATTGATTTGATAATATATTCATTTTAATATATGAAGTCATATTTGTAGATCAGAAGCAAATGAAAATGTTATTTCAACAAGATGAATGAAATAATATCCTTCTTAGAAGGCCAAGAAATATCTTAGAATAGGGGTAACCTTCTGTCTCTCCTTTGGATCACTCTCTACCTAATATAAAAGTATGTGTGAGTTAGGCTAGCAAATCTCTTCATAAATCAAATTAACCGTTGTGATAAGGAAGTGTTTTTACTTGCTCTTTTTCTATTTATATATTTATATATTAACACCTGGAGTGTGGATCTATTCCTCTGAATTGTATTTTGAAAATATGCCTTTTCTGAAGGGAGGACTAAATATTTCAATATGTGCAGATCTAGGGCACAGTTTGACCTCAGCCCGTACGTTCCCGTCTGACGCTCTAAGGACAGCCTGGTTCCGTGCGCACCCGGTAGATGGCACTAACCATATAGTGTTTCGCACGCCCGGAGCAATATGAAAAGCTTCCCCTTTAGCAGTAACCCAGACATGAAGTACACCCTGAGACCTTTTGAACATTTTAAATTATTTTTTAAAAAAGCGGGAGCACTGGGAACAGATCATGTAAGTCTGTGCTTATACACAAGCTACATTCGCATTGGCTCAAGGTTTCTTCATTTCCAGCAATGATTACACTCCGTTGTGCTTTCCATGTGATTTTGAAGTGTCTCTTCTTGAGCCTGTTCCTCTAGAGAAGAATGCTCTGAATTTCTTTGGAAACATAGGATGCATCTCCCAGGATTTAGTTCGTAGGATTTTTTTTTTAAAAAAGAATATTTTAATGTGAAAATTAATCCAGCGGTTTTAGTGCATACCAGCAAGTAACTGATACAAATAATGATTATGCAGTTTCCATGTGCATGTGTTTTCTGTAGCAGACCACCAAGATATACAGAAAAAGAATATCTTATTTTGCTTTGCTGTGTCTTTTAATTATTATGGGCTCTCATTTCCTAAAAACAAAAAGCCTTTATTTATTTAACACTTTGAATGTTGCGCTGCTTACATCATATTTTTTGCATGAGATAATTTGGCTTTTCTGCTTTTGTAGATCAAAGACAATTATAGTAGTTGTAAAATTAAGTAAAAGTAATGGTAAAGAAAGTACGGGGTGGACTTAGGTAGTATTTGTTGCAGGAGCTATACAAAATAATAAAATCATAGCTTATGTAAAATTGTTGTGAAGTGTTTAATTACTAGAATAACTATCAGTAAGAAATCATACTTTTGTAGATCAAGCTACAATACATCTGTATGAAGATGGTGCTGGGCATATGGTGTAAGTCTTTATTAAATAAGTACTTATATCCTATAGATTCTGTAGCCTATAGTTTTTCATAGCCTCTTTTATTAAACATTATTTTTATCAGTAAATATTTTATTACTTTTATTGTTTTATTGTTTTGTTATTAAATATTTCATCATGTTATTAAATCTTCGTTAACTCCAAGTTACAGTGTAACATCTTTCCATAAAATCAAAATGAATAGGTGGTGAACAGAAAATTACTGGGTCTCGAGATTGGATTTTTAGTGGTAATCTGTTAAGTATAGGATCACTTCCAGGAGCAGATCCTGCAAACACTTACATACATGAGTTATGCGTATGCATGAGTCCCTCTGAACTCTCAGACTACTCCCACCAGTGAAGTTATCTGTGTGCATAGTGCCTGCCAGATGTGTCTTTAGCAATGACAAAAATCTACGAAAAAACCTGGTGTAAAACGTTCAAAATTCTGTATTCACTTGTGCTTACTATACCTTCTGTAAGTACATCTAAATGCTTTTATATTGTCTGTTTGTATGTTCGGAGCTATGATTTCCATAATATATGTTGTAACTTTCCCATAGATAAATATGTATCACCAAAGATGTGGTATTATGGATATCTCTTCACGTGCTTTGAAAGAATATAAAAGTGAGACTGATAGGTTTTATAACAAGACCCACTAGTACAACTGTGGTTAAGTGCCTGTCAGTGTTTTCATTATAAATCCCTATTTTCTGGGGTTTATAACTTGGACATAAAAATTTGCTCTGGGGTTAAATTTGTCATGCAAGGTCTAAGCTGGATGTACTTTGTCTTCAGAACTTGTTGGGAACTTATTTCTAAGAAGCTAAATAAAAAGCAAATATCAGTTTGCCACAAAAGTAGAATTTCTACTTAAAATTCAGTCTAACACGTTACTGAGTTCACTACCTCCCAGAAAGGATGGGAATTTTCTGGCACATGCTTAAACAAAGTGTTGAAGACGAGCGCAATGTGAGCACAACGGGAAATCGCGTGTTGAACTGTTCACGTGTCATTAATATCTAAATGTCTGTTTATATCTCCATGTTGCCTCTTAGTGCTGTGATAGTAGAATCTGACACATTATCATGTTTTTGAAATGTCTGGAAAAAAACGCCTTTCTAAAAGTATCTTAACAGCGGTAAATTCAATGTTACGTTTGCTTAATAAAAAGCGAACTGTATTTACAAACGTTGTAAATTACACTAATATTTGATCTAGATCTTAGTTAACTGAGGAGTGAATTGTATTTGTAGGTATCTCTTTGTGAGTAATACGC